TTTCCGAGGCTGTAAATCTTTACGGGAGCAGAAAGCCTCATCTTTCTCCCATGGAACAGCTGGTAGTTTCGAACTGCTGACCTTGAGGTTCGCAGTCTGATTCATAACCACTACGCTACCAGAGCTCCTTAATGCTAGCCAATTAGAAGAAAAGAGGGGAACAGTCTGCATTCTAGATTAGCCTTATAAGTTTTAAATTCTTATGTGTTACTTTTAGACTAGGCTAAAAAACATACCTAAAGCCACATGAAAATTGCCTAAACTAAATCATGCCTTTCAGGATTCTAGCTCTGATGTTGTCCCATAAAATCATTTGGTGACAATGAACAGGATCAGGAGTCAGGACATATGATTTTAATTGCAATTTAAAGAACATAAATAAGCATTATTAATTGTATTTAAATGACCATTTCTTAAAAAACAAACAAACTCAGGTATTTAAAATACTATTTGCACAACCTCATTTACATGATTTGTCCTCTGAAAATTTAGCCCAACCACTAACTATTGTATCTCCTTATTAATAATCTTTTAACGTGCCCATAGAAATATGATTATACCTTACTAAATGGGGTCAGAAAGATGTCTTTGTGGGTGGTATTTTTTTTAGAACCTAAGTACAGGATATTTTGTTAGTATTTAACAAGCAGAGAAAAGTGAATTGATACAAAATCTAATGAATTCGGCAATTCTGTCAGTCCCACTGTGAATGTGAGTAAATCACGCTGAGTCTCAGTTTCCTTATCTCCAAATAGGGAAAATAATGTCCAACTTACAGAGCCATTGACAGACTAGATAACTTGAAGTGCCTGATTGAAATGATAGCTATTAGTCTTTTTCCACAGTCACACAAGAGTATACCATTAACAACCATAGTAGCATTATGCAGTGTGAACTAACTGCAGGAACTTGTTTCACTATGTAGTATTACTGCCATATGAAATAGAATCAGATCACATTCTATGGCATGATTAACAGTTGGTATGGTCTAGTAGAACATCACTAGTGTGGGCATTTTAAATATAAATATGCTGATAGTGAACAAATCAGTGAACACATCTGGAATTCATAGAGAAATAGTATGGTATGGTGCGGAGGAATTCAGAGGAAGTGTACAGTAGGAATGGTGCACAGTTGATTATGTGCAATATGACTTGCTCCTGCTGTACCCATGCAGTTATGGCCCATTGACAACAACACTCATTCTAGCCTAGTTTGGGAGTAACCTCAGAATCCTTCTCAACAAAGGAGTGTGAACAGCGGTCTACCACCATCTCGGAACTAAAGCTCACATCCTCTGGATCTGAACAAATAGAAGCATAAAATGGGGTGGGGAAGTAGCCAATGAGAAGGAGTGAGGCCAGAAATAATCCAATGAGGAAATGACAAGTTTTTGGAGTTCTCTTTGTATGTTTTAGGGAAAGGCCATTCATTCATTAAGACAAATCAACACACAATATTAAAGCATCACAGCTTACCTCTGCTTCTTTCTTTTTTTGCATCATTTTTTGGGCCTCCAGTGCTTTCAAAGTGCGATTTGATGCAGGTTTAGGAATTTGAATGATAGCTGCTTGGATTTTGGCCATTATTTCATTCTGACGTCTTCTGCCCAATCGTTGCTGCATATCCCATACACATGAGTAACTCGACTTTTCAGAGTAATAGGCAATGCTACACACTCATAGATCCATATACTTTAAATATATAAACTGTAATTAAAATTATCAACTGGAGCCCAGCAATTAACCACTGACTTAGTATTGCAGTTGTGTAGTGTTGAAGCAGAGGTCCATATGACTTGCTTTAAAAAATAAGATAATCACCAGGTTTTGTGTATTGAATGTAACTCTGGGTGGTAATGGGAATAAATCAGGGCATCCCAAATACAGAAATGTATAATTCGTTCCCAGGCCTAACCTTTGACATGTCCAGTCATGAGATGCCAAAAAAGAAATATCAGTCCAGGAGATTGTCTCTAGGAGGGCTCTGGTAAGCCCAACAAAACTGGCAAGTGTCCCAAAACCTCAGTCATGCTTAAACCATCAGTTCAGGAATGACCTCAAATATATACTAATTTATGAGATAATATTATTGGATCATCTCTCCTGTCTGTAAAAACAACAATTTTAAGAAGAATATAAACAAGAGAATCCAACAGAAAGAAATGAAAAATCAGATATAATAACAATGTTTGTTATTTTATCTGATTTTGCATTTCCATTTTCTTATGTAAGAAACATGTGAAACAAATGACTTTACACTTAAAGATTTAGAGTAGAATTATGAAGACCATCTGTCACTATATCCAAATATAATAAATTCTAATTTACCACTATAAAGACAACATTTATAAATACTTTTAGGTATTACTTTCTACTATTCCTTCATTTCATTTTCCAAAATGTGCTATTTAATTTTACTGCAATATGTTTACCTTTTTTTTTTTTTTCAATCAGGATACCCAGAAAGACATAATGTTCTACCTTTTGTCCTTTTCGATACCTATGATCATTTTTAGCGTAATTTAATTAGGACTGTTTAATAGTGTCCTAATGCCGCCTTTCTTAAGAGAGGCTTTATGACACCATTACATTTGGCATATCATCCAGACAGGCTTGTTCCATATGAATTAGAGGCCTAACACTTAGTCTCAATGTTACTTTCAAAGAGTTTTGTCCCCTTGACAAATGCCAAAAGAGAAGCAAGGCTGAAGAAGAAGCAATCCTTTAATCACCATCTGGCAAATATTAGCTCCTCATCCAGTTATCTTATTTAGCTGACTAAATTCAGCATGTATTAATTGCTTATCATTCTAAACATATTAATTTTTGAATGATTTATAGTGTATTGAGAAGAACTGTAAGTATTTTGCCTATAGTTTACACATTCCAAATGCCCAGCCATCTGAAATTCTCTTAAAAGTCTTTAATAATGCAAATCACCATTATCCTCTCATGTCCTTAAAGGCATAGGAGATCAATAAAGATTTTTGGAGAAATTTGAGATGAGGCTGGGAGTTGGTTAATATGAGAAGCGAGGGCCAGAAGAAGTAAAGAGACATCCAAGGTGGCTTGAAAGGAAGTAAGCAGAGACTCACGCAGCATTGCCAGTAAGTGAGAGATGAGGCGAGAGAAAAGAGAGACAGACAGAGAGAGAGAGAGAGAGAGAGAGAGAGAATGAGAGCGCAAAGAAGGCAAAGACAGGAAAGAGAGGGAAACGTGTCCACTCTGTCTCTCTCCATAGTGCCCAACAGTCTTAAACCTCTGTCAGAGTAACTAATAGCAAACTCCCCATTACTAAAGCATCTGAAGCAATATTTCTACCAAGTCATACTCACATTCCAGAAAACGGTAGTTCCAGTTCTTAGCCTTAAGCAGAGGTGATAGTCAGCAAAAGCGAGGTGATAGTCAGCAAAAGCGAGGATAGAGAAAAGGGGATTCATGAAGGGGCAGGGCATGAGTTACGCATCAGGACAACCTAGCTTGTGCTACATTTATGCTTATGTGATGTGTACTATAGGCATAAATTGCTAACAGCATACTATGTATTAATCAATTTCCAGAAAAATTGCTTTATAAAACCTTTTCGATATTAAAATGTCTTTGTTCTTCCTTGAGTTTTTGAAATCGTTCATTTTTCTCAAATTGCACACGGACACGTTCTTCTTCCATGTGTTTGTATTTTTCCTGGAACCTGTGTGTAACCCGCATCAGATTGAAATCAGTTTGACGTGGTATCAGGTTTCTAAGTCTCTAAATGAAGAAAGCATTTCAAGAGATTCTGGTATTAGAGAATAAGGAACATAACTGTCATTAGAAGAACATATATATTTGTCATCAAAGTAAAATTTCTATGAATTACCATTGTTGATGGTTAAAATTAACTAAAGTCCTATACCAAATCACTCATAGCCTTAATTGATAGCAATAAAAAAAAAGATTTAAATTCCTTATTATAATATATAATATATATTTAATGTAGCGTAGTGGTTACGAATTGGGCTGCTAACCTCAAGGTCGGCAGTTCGAAACTACCAGCGCTTCCGCTGGAGAAAGATGAAGCTTTCTACTCCCGTAAAGATTTACAGCCTCGGAAACCCTGTGCAGGGTCACTATGAGTCAGAACCGACTCCACGGTACTCAACAACAACAACAACAACATATAATATATATAATTACATAATATATAATATATATTTAAATTCCTTATTATACTATATAATATATATAAAACTCCAGATATGGTTTTAGAGTTCATAATTTTTGCAGTGAGTTGAATTTTCAAAGAATAGCATTTGTATTCTTGGAAATACATTTTCACACAAGAAATGTTTAGGAAAACCAGTGGCATCACATAAGAGAGAATGTAAATCAGATTATTCTACTCATTCCCAGATATTATGTAGAAACATGAAAACTTCCAGTGCAATGGAAATGGGCATGCAGAAGCTCAGGAATATGAACTCTTGGAAGGGGTTATAAAGGAGACTACAAAAACATGGCTAGTGTACTGCTCTAAAGCTGGATCCAAAAATAACCCCCTTACAAGTCAATTTAATAAGTAAACACAAAATTAAAACAAAACAGGAACCCTTGTACAAATCATTTTTGGCTCTTCTCTATTAAAATCCCTTTAGTAGATATTGTCACTTACTCCAAAGAACATGTAAAAACTTTTGAGCTAGCCTAAAGCCCTTGCACACCCACCTACTCTTTCCATTCAAAATAAATGGTCTGGCCTCCATCTTGACAGAGGCAATGCAGATGTGAGCTCTCTTAAAGTCCTACAAATACCTGTTAAAGATATTGCATAGCCTAATGCTTAAGTGTTGGTTTCTAGAGTCAGATAGCCTAGGTTTGAGCTTCAGGTCTACCACTTACTAGCTGCATGAACTTGGACAAGCTACCTAACCCTTCTGTGCCTGTTTCATCATTTACTAAATAGGAATGATAGTGCCAGTCTCACTAGGCTATTATAAAGATTAAGTGAGATAATACATGTATGCACCTAGGACAGGGCTTGCTATATCACTGCATGCTTTCAACACATTTTGTTGTTGTTGTTAAGTGCCGTCGAGTTGGTTCCGACCCATAGCAACCCTGTACAGGGTTTCCGAGGCTGTAAATCTTTACGGGAGCAGAATGCTTCATCTTTCTCCCGCAGAGCGGCTGGTAGTTTCGAACTGCTGGCCTTAAGGTTTGCAACCCGATTTGTAACCATTACGCTACTTTAGACAATAAACACCTGTATCTACTCTATCTGGTATCAAAAAACAAGTTGTGTTTATTTTTTCTTCAGATAAACGTTCCTGCACCTGAATCACTGATCGTGCCATCTTCCTTTCTTACCCAGAGAACCTCCTGCCAAGACATGTGCCTCACATCAGTCTTTCTACCTCCTGGCCACTCTTCCTTTTCTCAGTCAACATGTGGTCCCAGTCTACATGTTTATAAAACAAATACATACACAACCTTATGCCTCCTGGGAGCATCTCTCTTTCCAGCTACAGTTCTCATATTCTGTTTCCCCTAACTTCTACATTTCTTGAAAGATAGTATATGCTCCCCCATGTGTCATCTCCAATTCACTGCAACTCACTGCAATCTGGTTTTTATATAGGAGGAACCAGTTCCTGGAGAAGGATATCACGTTTGGGAAAGAGGAGGGTCAGAGAAAAAGAGGAAAAGCTCCAACGAAATGGATTGGCACAGTGGAAGCAGCAATAGACTTCAATGTAGTAAACATTGTGAAGTTGACACAGGACTGGGCAGTGGTTCATTCTATAGTGCACAGGGTGACTATGAGTCAGTACTGACTCAATAGCACCTAACAGCAACAACATATTCCTGAAACATGTTGCTCTCTCTGAAATGTAAACTCTAAGATGGTTGGCGATTTCTGGGTGGTATAAATGGTGAAGCACTCAACTACTAGCCAAAAGGTTGGTGGTTCAAACACAGACATGCCTTGGAGCACAAGCCTGGCAATCTGCTTCTAAAAGGTCACAGCCTTGAAACCACTGTGAAGCAGTTTGACTCTATACACACATGAGGCTCACCATGAGTTGAAATCCAACAAGAAGCAAGTTGACTTATCCTGTAATGTCCACTGTGAAGTGTCTCACATGAAGTAGAAGCTCAATAAATGTTTGCACAATGAACGACTGACTGAAAGATAGATTGCTCAAGACCAACATAATACCCAATAGATTCTTGAAGCACTTGCCAATGTTTACATAGAGCACTTTCCTGCACACTGTCTTACTGAAGCTGCACAAAGCCTTACTCTGTGGCAGGTGCAAATAATTATACTCAATTTTAAATTTCAGAAAACTATTGAGGCCCCAATTTTTTTTTTTTTAGTGACTAGTCCAAAGGTAACCAGCTTGTAAATGAAGGAGGTGGGATAAAACGCAAAATGATGTGGCTTCAACCTTAATCTAAGTTTTAGTTCTCTATGGGTGCTGGCTCATTCTGGCACAGGCTCCTTAGGATGTCCATTAATAAAAGGCACATTTGAAAATGGAGGTGGTCCTCACATCTGCTGACACAGTTGCTTCGTAGGTTACACTGCAACCTTTTAATTACCATCATTTCTATTTCATGTTTTATGTCAGTGAGCTCATCCTAGACTGCAGCCTTTGAAACCCTATGGGACAGTTCTACTCTTTCCTAGAATGTTGTTCTGAGTTGGAATCAACTTAACAACAAAAGGTTGTTTTGTTTTATTTTGTTTTTAATCAGTGTAGCATGTAGCATTGCCTTTGAGGCCTGAACAAGGTAATAGACATTGTTTACCATAGGAAATAGCATAGAAACTGGAGAGTTTCTAAACTCATCAACTAAAACATTATATCAATTAATCAAAACACACTTAATGAGTACTTGCAATGTTAAAAGCTTTAAATTAGGTATATTCCTGAAATTTGAGGCACCAAGAATCTTGTGAGGGCATCTGACAAACAAGTAAAGGATAATTTACTAACAGTATTAGGAGCAGTGAGCGAGAATTACCTGTACCCTAGGAGTTCCCAAGGAAGAAATCATGCGTACTAGGAAGACTGTGCAGAACGAGATGGACTAGAAAAGTTTTAGGGAAGAAGAGATATGAGGAGAGACGAGGAGGGTGAATTTCGGTGAGAGGAAAGAAACTATCGATGACAAGCCATGTTTAGGGCAGGCTGTCATTCAATGTAGAAAAAAGATAGAATTTCTATTAAATACTAAAAGGAAAAAAAGGTTAGGAAGACAGGTGGAGACCGTTTATTGAAGGGCCTTGAGTGTCCATCTGGATTAGACAAATGAAACAGATTATTTGTGAGCAGAAGAAGCAGGAAACAGAAGTAGAATTTAGGGAAGATTAGTCAAGCAGTTGGTTGACCTTTAGCAGAAAACCTGAAGACTGGCAGCCATGTTAGCAGGTTCATGAGGCTCTATGAGCAAATCTGATAGGAGTGGGAATGGAAAGAGATGAGACAGTACTGGGAAATATGAACAAACAATTTAATAAGTAATTGTTAGTATGGATAAGAAACAGAGCAGTATCAAAAAGAGGTAAGTGAATTTAAAATATTAGCTTAAAGTAAAATCCAAGAAGGTCCAATAACATGTATAAAGAACATAGATGCCACATGGAGGCCCCTTCCAAAGTGCAGAACCACCATTACTCCTTTTTGCCAAGTTTTACATTGTGACAAATACGTTTCTTTTGTTCCTCACCTCTCGAAAAGCCTCACTTTTTATGTTTTGAAGTCTTATTAGAGGTTGCATGGTTTGCATTTCCGATCCGGTCATTCCAGTTTTCTTCTTTTTCTGAAGAGCAATGTACAATTGATATAAAAGCTTTGTCGCTACCCCAGGCTTTTCGGTCATGATGCCCTGGGCCACATTCTGATCAAACTGCACACCCAGTAGTTGAAGGGTTGGCTCCAATCGAGAAAAATTATTAAGCTTGGCACTTGAAATCCTAGGTATTAAAAGTATTTACATAATTAGACACTGGTATTGCATTACAACAAATTAGCAACAAAAATAAGAAGCAAGATTATGATCCAAAATTTTGTTCTTTTAATTATATCATTCCTCCCTAGAACCAATCAATAATGTAGATACAAGGATTATTAATTATGTCTGACTCTCTTAACTCCATGCTTTTATTTCTCTTGAAGGACTAAACTAAGATGCATTAGTAGATTAGTTTTATACATTTCTGCTCTAATTTGACTATATAGTTTCTACAGAAAGTCAACACAAATCTAGATTTTTTATTAAATAGAAAATCCTACTGATGGTTTTGATTTTTTTTTTTTATTTTTACTTCAGAGAACAAAATTTCAATTCAAATGTCCATTTATTTAAATGATAAAAGACTACAGACTGAAAATAGTCCTAAATGTTACACTAGCAACTCTGACACGATCCTCTCAGGACTATTAGAACTATAGATGCTATGTAATTGAATTAATTGTATAATCTTCACTCTACAGTTCATATTATAAACTTAATAATCAAGACTTTCTAATTAGAGGTTGTATTCAATTTTGAATGATCTGTTACCAAACTGGGCTCAAATTTTAGAAGAAATTCATTAATGCATCAATTTACTACTTAAATTTTCCAGTTAGGAAACATTTATTAAATAGTCACATATATTAAGAATTTGTTAGTGCTAGTGCGTAGTGGTTACGAATCGGGCTGCGAACCTTAAGGTCAGCGGTTCAAAACTACCAGCTGCACCGTGGGAGAAAGATGAGGCTTTCTACTCCCATAAAGATTTACACCCTCGGAAACCCTATACAAGGTCGCTATGGGTCGGAACTGACTCGATGGCACATAACAACAACAACAACAACAGTGTTATAAAGGTGAGGAAGACACAGTCCCTGCCTTTGAGGAGTTTATAATCAGTGGAAAAAATAGATACAAAAACAAGAAATAATAAATTGAGTTAAGTGTTTTAAGATACACCCAAAAATAATCTAAGGTTGTTAATAAGCCTTAGAAATCTAGTAACAGATAGTAGGTAAAGATGCTAGATATATTTTCAATTCCTACATCTCCTATAATCAAACTGGATAAAAGTATCAATTCTCACACAAGTGACTGGCCAATGTATTCATTACTTTAACTTCCTAATGATCCATAATATTTTTTAATAGAAAAAGTATACTGAATATTCTTGAATGTAAGTCAAGCACACCTCTGCCAAACCACTCCATATATCTCAGAACAGTGAGAGTCTCCATATAGTTGAGTCCTTAATTTTATGGGGTATTCACTCAGTTACTTCATTTTAGACTATAAACCTATGTGAAGAAGATACAATGATCTTCAATGAACTCATTACATTTTGTAAGCTGTTCTTGCAGCATCTTCACAATTGTAAGCTTAGAGAGCTCATTTAATAGAAAAGGAAAACAGTTGAGATTTTTAAAGAGGAGGTTAAAAATGTTTTGTTTTGGTTTTTTTTTTGCTGTTTATTATTGAATTGTGAGAGTTCCTTATACATTTTGGTTACATTACCATTTGTTTTTGTTGTTGTTAGGTGCTGTTGAGTCAGTTACGACTCATAGTGACCTTACACACAACAGAACGACTGGTCCTATTTTATCTTCACAATTGTTATGTTTGAGCCCACTGCTGCTACCACTAAGTCATCCCATCTCCTGTTCACTGATCCTCCACTTTACAAAGCACAATGTCCTTCTATAGGGACTGGGTCTCCTGATAACATGTCCAAAGCATGAAAGACAAAGCCTTGCCATCCTGCCTTCCGAGGATAATTTTTTTTCTTAATTAATAAAGTTTTATTGCACATCTCCTACACACCATAATTGTTAGGTACTGACACCAATGATTTTAAGATTTTTAAATTTTTTTTGTTACAAGAATATGTTAGTACTAAAGAAAATTTGAAAAAGAATATCTATACTTTCATAATCCCAACATATTAACATTTTAACATATTCCTTTTGTTGCTGTTGTTAAATGTTTTTATTGTGAAGCACTCAACCAATCATATTTTGTTTAATTGCAACTATTGCAATCCCTTCCATGAACCACGGATATTTGCTTGCATTCCCTCTTTTTTCTTTCTTTGATTTACACAAAAACACTCAGGAATATATAATCGTTTAAGCAATCAAGGGCACATTTTACAAGCCAGTCTCCTGGCCTCCAGCACACAGTCTCTTTCCATGAGTCTAGAGTCCTCAGCTGCTCTATCTCTCCATGTCATCATCTCTGTCTCTGTCTCTGGTGTCGCTATTCTCTGGTTAGGATCCCGCATTTTGCTCATGCTCTTCTCTAAGGAGAATTCTTAGTTGTACTTTTTACAACACAGAATTTTTTTTTTCCCTTCTGGCAGTCTGTATTGTTGTTTTTAAGTGCTTTAGAGTCGGTTCCAACTCATAGCGACCCTGTATAGGGTTTCCAGGCAGTCCGTAGTACATTGAATATTTTTCTTCAACACCATAACTCAAATGCATGGATTCTTCTGTACTGTTGCTTGTTCACTGTCCAACTTTCACACATATATGAGGCAAATGAAAATGCCATGGCTTGGGTCTGGTGCATCTCAGTCCTCACACTGACATCTTTACTCTTGAGCACTTTAAAGAGCTCTTTTACAGAAGATCTGGCTAATGCAATTCTTTGTTTGATATCTTGATGGCTGCTTCCATGAGTGTTGATTGTGGATCTGAGCAAAATGAAATCTCTGACAACTTCAATCTTTTCTCCATTTAGCATGATGTTATTTGTCCAGTTATGAGAATTTTTTTTTTCTTTACATTGAGGTGCAATCTATACTGAAGGTTGTAGTCTTTGAACTTTCTCAGTAAGTATTTTAAGTATTTTCCAAATTTCTTCTCAGTCTGTTGCTAGATTTTTCATTTCTTCCTAAAATATTTTGATAAGTATTTTTTAATAACTCTGACAATCACAAGATTTAGCTAATTTATTAATTTTCTTTCCTTTAAAGTTATTATTTTCTGTGTTTTGCCTTTCACAGTGGGGTCTATGTGTGACCTAAAATGAGAAGGTAAAATAGACCATGTTTTGAAGCTGACTGTGAAAGAGCAAAGTTGGATCAATAATGTGCTTTCATATTTCCTGGAGAAGCTCTTTACATTCCCTTTCTATCTTCCAACCACAGCTGACACATCCTACCCTTCCCATCCTTGGAATCCTATGTCTTGCTCACTAATACATATTTGGAAAGTTGATCTTCATAGCCACCTTGGGCTCCAGAATTTAACTCTCTCAAAAACACACTTGCGCACGCGCACACACACACACACACGCCAACCCATGGCCACAGAGTTGATTCTGACTCACGCTGTTGTTAGGTGCCATCTATTTTGGTTCCGACTCATAGTGACTCTGTACAACAGAACAAAACATTGCCCGTCCTGCGCCATCCTCACACTTGTTATGTTTGAGCCCCTTGTTGCTGCCACTGTGTCTGTTCACCTTATTGGTGGTCTTCCTCTTTTATACTGACCATCCACTTTACCAAGCATGATATCATCCTTCAGGGATCGGTCCTGTCTGACAATAGATCCAAAGTATGAGAGGTAAACACTAGCCACACTGGCTTCTATTTGTTTGTTCTTCTTACAGTCCATGGAACTTTCAATATTCTTCTACAACACCATAATTCTAACCCATAGGCTGAAACTCTTTACACAAATAGACAGCCTCATTTTTCTTCTGTGGAGTGGTTGGTGGGTTTGAACCATCAACTGAGCAGTTAGCGGTCTAAAACTTAACCCACAGTACCACCAAAGCTCTTTTCCAGAGGTTACAGACAACATAATTCAGGATCAAGAACCAAACACTCCTCAGCTCCAAATTTTCACAAAGCTTAGTCTTGCACTCCAAGCAAGGGGAAAACACTCCCCCTCTATCCTCACTTGCACCATGTGGTCCCAGGATGCAAAGAATGCCTATACATTTTGTGGCTCAGTTACCCTTTAAGGTTTAAAAAATGTTTTTATTGGTTGACCAAAGAATTCAGGAATTATAAGACTTCTCTATGGAAGTTTTTGTACATATTCCAATTTATTAACCCATGAAAATTTGGGGAACAAAACTGCATTATAAATGGTGAAAGACAGTTCTTGTCACAGCACATGCTCAGTCTGTGCAGCACAAGAACCAACAGTTGTTTTTGAACAAGGAGAAACCTCTGGGATATCTTTGCTCTGGAGAAAAAGCATATGATGTAAATGATGACCACTGAGAGAATAAGGAATGTATTCTGGGAAATGTTTTCACCCTCTCAACCTGGAGTCCTTATTTACCAAGGGATTACCTTTCTCCTGCACTGCTTCCCATCTGGTAAGGGAATACAGCTTCTTGCAGGTTAAGTAGACACTGCCCTCTTAGGGATACACTTGCTTATGTTTTTTGTTATTTTACTTTTTAAAAACTTATCCACTAGGGTCTGGTGAAAAGAGATGGGGGTAAGATTCTTATGATTCAATAGTGAGTAATTGTTATCATAACTAATTAGGACTGTCACAACTGTAAAGGTAGAAGTTTTGTAACAAAAATAGGGGAGTAGTTAATCTGACACAGAGGACCCTAGGACCATCAAGGGAGAAGAGCACAAACAGAATATGGGACTCTATCCAGAGAAGCAGTGACACCAGAGATGGAGGCAGAGATGGGGACATTGAGAGAGAGAGCAACTGAGGATTCTAGACTCATGGAAAGAAAGGGACTGAGTGCTGGCAGCCAGGAGGCAGGCTTGCAGAATGTGCCCTTTGGTTGTTTCAATTATTATATATTCTTGAGTGTTTTTGTGTAAAACCCTCCACACCATCCACACACACCCCAAAAAAACTAAAAACAGCGGGAATATACAAATAAATAATACATAAATAAATAATCCACTAATTTTACCCTTTGGGAAGGACTAAAGAGATTCAATAGCAGAGTTCTTTCAGAGAGACAGATGAG